AGTATCGTTCAAAAGATAATGACTTACCTTCAATCGAGATCTGACGAGGCCGCTTCTGAAGCTAGTGCAGCAGCGTCCCATCGTTCGACGGCAGCTGTGGCTCAGTCACATGAGGCTGTGATTCAGGCCCGTCTGACCGCCTTGAAGAGTCGCCAGGAAGAAAAACGACTTCAGTGCGAAAAGGAATTCACCCTGAAGATTCAGGCGGCTAGAGAAGCGGCTGAAACAGCAGAACTTGAAGCTCGACTACGGCAAGAAGCCATTGAGTCAGGGACAGTCAATCTGGATAGAACTGATGACATCAGAGACGAAGCTGCTGTTGCCGATTGTGAAGTTGAGAATGAAAGTGCGAACGTTGGTGACAGCAACCTGAGAACAGCAGACTGGATCAGGAGGCTGAACAGTCCTGAGGCCTCACCAGCTCAACAGAGAGAGACGACAGCGCGTCACACCGAGCTCCACAGCGTGCCGCGCATAACACTGCCGAAGTTCTCGGGTGAGCCTCTGGAGTGGCCAAAGTGGATTGGACTTTTCGAGGCGCTGATTCACAAGCAACCAGGGCTGTCAAACGCAGAAAAAATCGTTCATCTACAGTCGGCAGTCACTGGTCTGGCGCAGAAAACAATCGAAGGCATGCTATACGATGGCGAGCTCTACCCGCAGGCGCTACAAGCTCTCCAAAGTCGATTCGGCAGGAGTGACGATATCGTTTTTGCGCACCTGAGGGCGGTTTTCGAGAGCCAGCCTCTGAAGCACCTCGACGCAGCAGCCCTAGAAAAGTTCCAAGCTCGTCTCCATTCTGCGGTTGCGACTCTCCAATCGCTCGGCTATCATGGTGACGTCACGAGCCGTGAGAACTTGCGACGAGCAGTCGTGAAGCTGCCGATTCAACTCCGTCACGAGTGGGGAAAACGAGCAGTAGAGCTGGAGCCAAGGCAAGTCACACTGTCGGATTTGGATGACTGGCTAGCTCTACAAGTCCGGATATTGCTCAGCAGCTCAATGTCTGAGCGAGAAGGAAACAGCGGCATCAGCTCAGCGGCAGACAGTCAGCGCCGACCGCCGGCGTCGCGTCAGAGGCATGGATCGAGTGCGCGTTCGGCTCTCGCCACGGTGGCCACTCAGCATGGCTCCCAGCCGGCGTGCCCCCTCTGCAATCGCCGACACGACTTGGCTCGCTGCAATGCATTTGCCCAAAAGTCGGTGTCGGAACGAGCTCGATACATCGCTGACAATGACAGATGTTTTCGCTGCTTGGAGACGGGACACATCTCGAGAAGGTGCCCGTCCACATCTGTCCAACAGTGCAGTTCTGCCGGCTGTGGAGGCAGACACCACCAGTTACTACATGGCAGCCAGCGTGTTTTCGAGCGTCGTGGAACGGAGCAGGCTGCCGCGCTCGAGCAAACCCAACAACATATGGATCCAGCAGAGCAGCACTCAACTAATCGCACGATCGGAGCCGCGCTGAATGCGACCAGAACGTCTACACTTCTTCAAGTCGTACCAGTGCGTGTGTACGGGCCAGACGGCGAGTGCAGTGACACGCACGCACTACTGGACGCCGGAGCACAAACCTCTCTCTGCACCGATCGGCTGAGGCAGCGCCTGGGTATCATCGGAGAACGCCAGGAGCTGCAACTGAACAACGTCGAAGGGGCCGGCGAGAAGAGAACTGTGCACCGATTTGAACTGCAGGTGTCGCCAATGTCGGATGGAAACGGAAGAGCGGATATTACCGTACAAGAGGTATACTCCGTTCCTAAGCTGAACGTGCAGCCGCAAACAATCGACTGGAGTCGGCGACACGAGTGGCTACATCTCTCCGATCTCGATATTCCAGACACTAGTGACAAGCCGATCGAACTACTGTTAGGCGCTAACGTCACTGAAGCAATAGTGCAGCACGAGGCACGCGTTGGTAGGCCAGGCCAGCCAGTGGCCGTTCGTACAGCCTTTGGTTGGTGTCTAAGCGGCAACATCACACAGCTGGTCTCGCCTGGTGCTCGTCACGTCATGCACATGGCACGAGTTGACACTCGAGAAGAAGAGCTGAGCTCTCTGGTGAAGGAATGGTGGTCCACCGAGTCCTTCGGCACCAAATTCAGCGAGAACGTCGCCTCATCAGCTGAAGATAGGCGCGCGGAGAAGCTGCTCGCTGAGACGACGAAATGGCGCGGGGACAGGTACGAGACCGGTCTACTGTGGAGATCAGACGACGTCTCCATGCCAGACAACTACACAGCAGCACTGAATCGACTTGAGAGCACGGAAAAAAGACTTCTCCGCCAACCAGGGACGGCAGCTGCATACAAAGATACCTTTCGACAGTATCTGGACAAGGGATACGCTCGAATGCTATGCCCAGAAGAACTCGAGAGAGCAGACAAGAAACGATGGTTCCTGCCGCATCATGCAGTGGTCAACCAAAACAAGCCAGGAAAGATCCGTGTGGTATTCGATGCTGCAGCCAGCTACAGAGGAATCTCGCTGAACAGTCAGCTTCTCACTGGCCCTGACTTCCTTCAGACGATTCCCGGCGTTCTTCTGAGATTCAGGGAGCAGCAAGTCGGTGTTTCGGCCGACATCGAACAGATGTACCATCAGGTGGTGGCAGTGAAGGACGATCAGCCGGCACTCAGCTTTCTTTGGCGAGATCTGGACACTACCCGACCTCCTGATGTGTACCAAATGGACCGTATTATCTTTGGAGCCCGGTGCTCACCGGCTTCGGCATCGTATGCTCTTCGCAAGACCGCCAATGACATGGCGGCTGACACTGACTCGGACAGAGCGGCGACAGAAGCGGTCCTCTGCAACTTCTATATGGACGACTTCCTCAGCTCGGAGCCAAACAGCGACTCGGCTATTACTAGCCTCCCAGCAGTGACAGCACTCGTATCTCGAGGAGGCTTCAGACTCACCAAATGGCTCAGCAATTCTCGTGACGTCCTCGCCGCTGTGCCAGAGTCCGAACGTACACCATCAGCGGCAGATCTGACCGTGCAGCTGCCGACAGAACGCGTCCTCGGTTTGCTGTGGGACGCAGAGACTGACCTGCTAAGGCTGCATGTTCATCACCGAACTGTGCCTCCTACAAAACGGGGTATCCTTCAGATGGCTGCCTCCATCTACGATCCACTCGGATTCGCCTCTCCATTCACTCTTCTCGCAAGAATCGTGATGCAGAAGCTGTGGGCACTGAAACTCGACTGGGACTGTGAGCTCACAGGAACGACGGCGGAAGAATGGACTCGTTGGACGGGAGAATTGGCGTGCTTAGAAGCACTCACAGTTCCTCGGAGCTTCAAAGCATGCGACTCACCTGCACGTGATCGGCAGCTTCACATATTTTGTGATGCTTCCGAGCTCGCCTTCGGGGCCGTGGCCTACCTCAGAGAGACATCGGCTGACGGCACTGTGTCCGTCTCTTTCGTCATGAGCAAGACTCGAGTCGCTCCATTAAAGAAGATGACTATCGTTCGGCTTGAAACTCAAGCGGCTGTGCTAGCCATTCGACTGGCAGACGCCATCAGAAGAGAACTGAAGCTCGCAATTGATGGAGTCAACTTTTGGAGCGACAGTATGGTGGTTCTCCAATACATCAACAACGAAAGCAGACGCTTCCAGACGTTCATCGCCAACCGAATAGCGGAGATTCGCCAAGGCTCAGAACCATCGCGGTGGCGGCATGTCCCAGGATACCTAAACCCGGCGGACGACTGCTCGCGGGGTCTGCCGGCTTCTCAGTTGACACCGGATAGCCGCTGGATTCAAGGACCTGCCTTCCTTCGCCAGCCGCCGGATCAATGGCCTTCAGAGGTTCGCCAAAAGGCCATAAACGATGGTGATCCCGAGGTCAGGGTCGTGAATCTCACCTCCACTGATCTCAGCACAGGGATTGTTCTCCCTGACCCCAGCAGATTCTCAAGCTGGACTCGCTACAAACGCTCCGTCGCCTGGCTGATGCGGTTTCTCTGCAACTTCGTGGCCAGACACGGCTTTCAAGAAGAGCAAGAATGGCGCCGTGCTGGCACGCTCTCGGTGACAGAGTTGAACGATGCAGAAAACCTTATTCTGCGCAAGATGCAAAATGATCAGTATCATCAGCAACTGATCGACCTGAAGAACGGCAGATCGGTCTCTAGCAAGAGTAGTCTGCTGGCACTCTCACCCTGGCTGGATGAAGACGGTGTCATTCGGGTCGGTGGTCGGCTCCTCAACGCACCACTCCCAGCCACGGCTCGCCATCCAGTGATCCTGTCTCGCAGCAGTGAAGTGACTAGATTAGTAGTCACGCACTTCCACAGCCAGCTTCTGCACGCTGGCGCCGAACACGTCATTCTTATCCACATCCGGCCGCTGCGTCCACATAACATCAGGATGGAGGAAACGATGTTGTTGTAGGGAGTTGAGGTGGGTGGATTGGGTCTGAGGTGCTCGTGATTTTTTGCCTTTTTGGCTGTAAGGAGACCAAGTGCGAGTGTTAGAATGTGACCAGGATGTGGATAAGCGGCTCGACAATGAACAGTGTTGCGTTTTGGGTGGTGACACTTACCTGGTATGGATATTTTTGCCCTACTTTGGCTGGGTCCGACGCACCAGTTTTGCCGCTCTGCGACGAAAGCGCTTTCAAATGTCGCGGTCAGCTGCTGAGCCCGACCTCTCCTGGTCACGTGACCTGCTACAGCACCATCTACTGGTGGCCAGCGCATCTCAGCTTATGCAGCCTTATAGATGGCTCCACCGCTGACTGTATCTTCACGGAGAGGGCGGCGCCGCCGCACCTGCTGACTGAGACTCCAGCTGGTACGTCCGCTGTTGAGACTCACTCGGCCCCGGCGCTGCATCTGACCTGGTCGATGGTGATCGGTCCGCGCTGGAAGACGCCAGCTCTGACGACTACTCGCCGATTTCTGATGCTCAGGCGAGCTGGCCGCTTCTTCAAGGCGAGATGCCCGTATTATGCGAATACGGCGGGTACCCTACAGTCGTGTCGCATGCAACTGATCACTTCCGGTGATATCGAGCCGAACCCAGGTCCTTCTGAGAGAGAGAACGTACTACGACTGTGCTGCCAGAACGTGTGCAGCATCAACAACAAGCTCGGCACCCTGCGCTCCTACGCCCCCGAGCTGGCCAGCCATAACGTCATCGGTCTAACCGAGACATGGCTCGGGCCGCACGTGACGGACTCTGAGCTCCAGCTGGGACTCGACGACTACGTCTGGTTTCGGCGGGACCGGGACGGCAGAGGAGGAGGTGTCGCCTGCGCTGTGCGAGCGAACCTGTCACCTGTCCACCGGCCGGACCTCGAGCCCGACTGCGAGGCACTGGCTGTCCAGCTCGGCACTGAGCGGCGCATCATTCTGGTGGTCGTCTATCGCCCGCCGGACGTCGACGCCGACATCGATAAGCTGGTTCAGCTCATCCGTCACCTGCGTGATTTAAGTGCTCCTTATGTGATGATCGGTGACTTCAACTTACCCGAGATAAAATGGTCTGCCAATCGTGAGCCTGTCTTACTTAGGCGCACCGCCCGTGCAATAACTTTCCTCGATACTCTGGCTGAATGTGACGTGCACCAGTCAGTGACGTCTCCCACGCGCGGTGATAATATCTTGGACTTGGCTCTCACACACGGTACGGCTGCAGTCTCGGAGCCAGTCGATGGCATTTTTGATTCAGATCACCGAATGGTAGTGACGTCATTGTCTGTGAGTTGTGGTCGCACTCCGCGCGTATCCAGAACAAGAGCCTACAACTACAAGCAGGCGGACTTTGTAGGTCTCCGCACTACTCTACGTCTCTTGCCGTGGAACTGTTTGCGTGGGTGCGACGTGGATGGTGCCGTTTCGATGTTTTACGATTTTGTCCTGGCTGCCATTTCCGATCACATCCCGACTGTAGAACTAAAGACAAAGTATCCGCCTTGGTTTGATAGGTCAGTCAGGAATCTCCTCCGCGAAAAAGAACAAGCTTTTCGCCGTAAAAAAGCAGATCCATCCTTGGAGAACTTACATCAGTTTTCTGCCGCGAGAGCAGAGTTTAAATCGGTAGCAGCCGCGAAATACCGTCAGTACCTACTGAGTCTTGTTGACGACTTTAAAGACAACCCAAAACGTTACTGGTCGTTTGTAAAAGCCATTAAGTCATCAGCACAAGTGTCTCCTGTCTTGGAACGTGACGGCCGTGTATATAGGGGAGATAGTGAGCGTGCCAACTGTCTGAACGCTTGTTTTGCCCGTAAGTTTAGTGACCCGACTGTCGAGGCACTGCCGGTTGTGCCGGTGCTCGGTGCCCCTGGAACTGACCGCTTTACTGTGCCGCGCGGCCGGGTGGCTCAGTTACTGCGGGAGCTGTCCCCGCATAAGGCCTGCGGTCCGGATGACCTCAGCGCTCGCATATTGCGCGAATGTGCTGATGAGATAGCCGTCCCTCTTGAAATTATTTGTGAGATGTCTGTGTCTTGTGGATTCTTCCCATCCTACTGGAGGCGGGCTAATGTCGTTGCCATTCACAAGAAAGGTTCCAAGAAAATCCCAGACAATTACCGACCCGTTTCCTTGCTGTCGATCTGCTCAAAGGTCCTAGAGAAGATAGTCTTGGAGAATCTTCTGCCGGCCTGTCTCCCTGCCATCCCCGGCAACCAACACGGATTCCTGCCAGGCCGCTCATGTGTCACTAACCTGTCCTGCTTCCTTGATCATTGCTGGTCCTCCATTTCCAAAGGTAAACAGACAGACGCCATTTACACTGACTTTTCGTCCGCATTCACGTCTGTAAACCATGTCCTACTTCTACACAAACTCCGCTCATCCTTTCATATCACCGGAACTGCTCACTCCTGGCTTACATCCTACCTCAGTGATCGCATGCAGCGCGTCGTATTGAATGGCAAGCATTCAGCGTGGACTGCTGTCCAGTCCGGCGTGCCCGAAGGCAGTATTTTGGGCCCTTTGTTGTTCGCGTGCTTCGTCGCTGATATTCCGAAGTGTATGAAGACTGGTTGCCTGTTATATGCAGATGATGTGAAACTGTTCCACCGAGTGGGGTCCGATGATGATGTCGCTCTACTTCAGGCTGACTTAGACAATCTTCATAACTGGTGTAAAACATGGAAGCTAAAACTCAATCCGGTTAAATGTCAGACGATCACTTTCACCCTCAGGACATCTCCCATTCAGTCGACCTACAGTGTGAATGGTCACGAGCTCACTCGTTGTCAAGAGGTACGCGATTTAGGGATCCTTTTGGACGCTAAGCTTACATTTGCGCAGCATGTTGACGCCACCATACGGAAATGTAATAAGATGTTAGGCCTAATAATGCGCAGTGTGCAGTTGCCTCGATGTCCCCGGCGGGTCAAATTCAATCGAACTGCGCTGCTTGCCGCCTACAAGGCTCACGTTCGCTCGATTGCTGAGTACGGCAGCGTTATTTGGAGCGGCGCAGCAAAAACCCACCTTGTGCGACTTGAGCGAATGCAGCATCGTTTTTTGATGTGGCTGGCATCGAATTCGGATGGAGATGACTCCAGTCTCGATTACGTGCGCCTCTTGAACCGCTTTGGTCTGTGCTCGATTAAGTCCCGCTTTGTACAGGCCGACCTTTCTTTCCTACTCAACGTGTATCGCAGTAGGATCGACTGTCCCTACCTGTTGGCAGTCTTTGGCCTAGCAGTCCCCAACAGACGCTCTCGACAGACAGGGCTGTTCCATGTACCGTTCGGTCGTGTGAATACTGTGAAGTCAGGGTTCACTGTCCGTATCCCTGCACTTTGTAATCGCTTCTTGCAGCATACACCCACTGCTGACATGTTGGCATCATCGGGTTCCGTTTTATCGGACATCCGAGAGTTTGCTCGCTCTCAGGGGACGTACATGTAATGTGCAGTATTCATTGTAATGTGCAATGTGCATGTGCTGCGTCACCTATTTTAATCGTGACTGCTACTGTAAATGGGCTGCAAGGCCTGTAGTCGGCTATTACAAATACAAGAATACAAGAATACAATGAAGCCAGACAGCTGTACTGGATCCCCAGGGCACGGGCGACAGTGCGGAAGATCCTGTCAGCCTGCCCGCTCTGTCGACGAAGACGAGCCCAGCCTCAAACGCCAAGAATGGCTGCGCTTCCGAAAGCGCGCTTAGCTGTGACACACCCATTCTGCAACGTCGGCATCGATTACTTCGGCCCGATACTCACCAAAGTAGGCAGGAAGACGGAGAAGCGATACTGTCTGCTGGTGACATGTATGTCTACCAGAGCAGTCCACCTCGAAATATCGACATCTTTAAGCACCGAATCGTTCCTCATGGCCTTCCAGCGTTTCGTCGCTCGTCGCGGTAGGCCAGCATCGGTGTACTCGGATAACGGAACCAACTTCCGCCGAGGGGAAGCTGAACTCCGACGTCTTCTAACCGACTTAAATCAAGGCTGCATCAGTGATCGGCTCGCCCAAGACAACATCCGCTGGTTTTTCAATCCTCCCACCACATGCCATATGGGAGGTATCTGGGAGCGAATGGTAGCAACCGGGGCATTCCACGTCAAATCGAACAAAAATCGGCTGTTTTGCACCTTACCATCAGCGATTTCATTATAAATTTGTGAGCGAGTTCCTGTGTGGCCCCGGACATTACATTGATGTTTTTTGCACATTCTGACCACAGGTCTTCTAAATATAGGGCATCAAATTTTTACAAAATGTTGCATCTTTATATTTTTGAACGACCATAACTTTGGTTGTACTTGTTTGATTTGAATGAAATAAACCTTACTGTTTAGGTAATTTCTTAAGCATTTGTTTAGAATTGCACTAACTTAAATATATGACCTTGAAATTTGCTTAACTCTGTTCTTAAGCACAAATATTGAAATAGCAAAAAACACGTCACCTTCGATTTGGCTCATTTTCATATATTTTATTGCCTACTATATTCTTAACAACCTGTGAAAAAATTAGAGTGGGCCATTCATAAGTTTTGAAGAAAATTGCACATATGCAAACGTATGTTAGCACGCGCAGTGGAGGGGGAAGAACGAATTTCGCCCACCCCTCCTGTTTTTCGCCAATATCTCATAAGATTGATGCGAAATTAATTATGGCTACCTGTCAAGAATTGAATTGGGCATCTCATCGTGCAAGCAATAAGAAAATCGGTTCACAAATGTTCTAGTAATAGCGGTGTAAAGTGAACATCCTGTCGCCGCAGCAACGCGGCGGCTCGGCAGCCGGCGCCGACCGCTACGCGCCGCCTGAATTGTAGACTGTGCCGGGACGGAACGGAACGGTTCCGTCTTTACATCGCGCTCCCTACCGCTGATTACTTTCGATTCGCGTCAAATTTTGTGAGAAGACTAAGAAATGTACAGGCAATCTTATGGTGAAAGAATTTTGAAAATCGGTTGGTAAACAATTGAAATATGAACGTGTAAACACAAAATTGTGATTGCTGCGTTTCCCGCATCGGCCGAGCCCGCCTCAGCCGGCGACATGTTACTCTTAGCAGGCCTCTAACTGCCATATTTATTATTGGATTAACTAGAAATTCCCCATACATACTAAAAAATGTATGTTCTTTCGTATAGTGCAGATCAAAAGACGTGAAAATATCGTAGCGTGATAATGTTTTCGTTGAATTTACTTCATGATGCATTTCCACACGGCTCAAAATTCACCGCAAAATACCGTTTGCCTGAGACACTTTTACTATGGAACGTGAATGCTTGACTACGATGACTATGCATTTCCATTCTCGCAGAGTTTGTGATATCACTAATCAGCAATCATTCATTTCAGAAAGTGTACACAAGCAAGCATGTCTTGACTCTGTCTTTCAAGGTCACGCGCGGTTGCGTGATGTTGATGCATGAAAACGGCGTTTGCCGCGAAAGTTATGAATGGCCCACTCCAATTTTTTCACAGATGGTTAAGAACATTGTGACGGACATAATATGTAAAAATTACCCAAATCGAAGGTGACGTGTTTTTTGCTATTTAAATTTTTCTGTTTTAATTCAAGGTCAAATGCATTTCAAGGTCACTTCAATTTAATTTTATAATTAAAAATCAAAGCCTTATCAATTGCCTATAAGACCCTGTTAATATCATTTTGATATCAGAGAAGGAACCAGAGTTATAGCCATTTAAAAAATTGATGTGTGGCATTTTTCGCTATATTCGATGACCTATATCTCAGCGATACGTTATCAAATTCTGAAAATATTATACGTAACTCAGTTTTGAACCATGCCCAGTCTGCCTACAAATTTTCAGAAAAATCGAAGGGGATGACGGATTTCGGTGTTTGATTTGACGTGGAATGCCCCAACCGTGAAACGAGCACTCCGAGTAGTCCTTGGAAACTTCATCGTTCATGAAGAAGCTCTACTGACCGCTACCGCAGAAGTAGAGGCAGTCATCAACAGTCGACCTTTGACGCACGTCGGCTCAGAGGCCAGTGACTTTGAAGCGCTCACTCCCAGTCACATCCTTCTCGGCAGACCGGCGTGTCTCCTGCCGTCTCAGCTCAGTGACTCATCACGAATGAACGTCAGGAGTCACTGGCGGCAAGCACGAGCCATAGCCACACAGTTCTGGCGAAGATGGCTCAGGGAATACGTCCCCACCCTCGTTCAGCGCACCAAATGGACGTCAGACGTTCGGAACCTGCGCGTCGGAGACTTGGTGCTGCTAGCCGGCGACGACACGCCAAAGGGATTGTGGCCGCTGGCTCGAGTCGCTCAGGTGTACCCTGGACCCGATGGTCGTGTCCGTTCTGTGGATATAGTGACCGCTAGGGGACGTCTCCGCCGTCCTGCTAGCAAAGTGTGTCTCCTCGAGGGGAGCGATGATGATGGTGATTAGTGGTGCAACTGCGCTCTGCCCAGTGTGTATCGATGGGCATGGTGCCAAGGGTGATAGCGGGTCACTCTTGGGGGGGAGGATGTCGCCGCCGTAGCGGCTCCAGTGTGTTATGGCACGCGCCATTTTGCATATTTTCACGCAGTCGGAATTTCGTCGGTGCTATTGTTGTCGTGTGAATGAACTCGTTGAAATTAGAAGGAAAAATGGCGAACAATATAGATTGATCGATTCGGAACAAGTTTAATTCGACTTCCGTATTATTCGGATTTTGCTTATTCGTAACTTTACCGGTCGATCGGATCGGATTCGATTCGTTCGCAACAACAGGTAAACTTGACAATCTGAACCGAAAATGGCACTCGTGACCTCTCCATATGTTCATGAGGTCATATCAGGTCATGAAAGGTCCCCAGCAGTTTTTTGGCAGTAACTTTTGATAGAGACATGAAAACACCATAGATGTGTTCAGCTTGACGATACGAATTGACTGTTATGCAGCAAGACCCTTTCTGGTCATGTCATGACCTCGACCTAAAGTCAACTTTTCAAAATGACCTTTCAAGGTTAAATTATAGATCATTCGACGCGTCTAGTTAGACGAGAGGAACACGATGCTGGCAACATAAATGTCACTTTCTTAACCCGCGCACCGACGGGGGTCTGCGCCAACTTCGCACCGACGGGGGGGCGGATGACCGCCCCCCCTGAGATCTCGAGAACGAAGCAAGATAGCGACAAGCGGTAAACGGCATCGGATACGCACGGACAAGGTCTACAATTTTTACTAAGGTCATTTTCAGGTCAGGTCAACGATGACGTCACAGGGGTCGAAAAAGTCAAAATGGCGGCGCTAGATATGGAGAGTTTTTCTCGAATAACTTTCGAATTAGTCAAGATAGGAACAAACTAAGGGCATCATCGTGATTCTCTCGTCAATCCGCATCGAATGATATATATGTTGACCTCGAAAGGTCAAGGTCAAAGGTTGACCTCAGCTCACGTGACCTCGAGGTCATCATGTATATCATTCGATGCGTCTTGACGGGCTGAACACAATGAGACCATCCGCGCGGCTGTATCTTGTTCCTGTACGGAGTTATTGGCAAAAAACCTTTGGTGACCTTTGATGACGTCACATGACCTTACAGCTGTCTAACAGCAAAACAGACCTCAAGGTAGTGAAGGTTGATCGTATATGAAGCACGGACGTATAAATAAACTGGACCAGCAACCACCTCCATTCAGGTGAAGCCGACAAGGCGCCATTTTACGTTGCCAAAAAAACCGTGCTGAGAAAGGTCATCGAGCCAATACAATTGAAATTGCGTCTAAACGGATGATCGGATCAAGATGCTGGTGGTACCGTTCGACGCGTAATGCCTTGAGGAAGGTGATGATGCATGTCACAGGTCACCCGGTGTCACATGGCGCGTGCCACGTGCCGACAAACTTACAAAGGGCAAAAATCTTTAAGCGACGCTCCAAATCAAACGAAGGGCAGCACAGGTGCCAAATTCACAGGTCACATGTTCCAGTGTTCGACCACTAACATATGGTATGCTCGGCATCAGGGGGTGCAGAATGCACGCGCTAGGGGCGAAAAACATGTTTTGAGGAGGCATCCTCCGATTCCGGAGAAACTTGACCTAGGCAAACCAAATTTGGCACACTGACACTACTGGACACGCGCTTTAAGGTGCTGTACAAATAGGTGTGCTGGGGAACACGGTGCACGTGCTGTGCACGTGCAAACCTTTTGATGTTGCACTCTGTGCCACATATGCGGGTAGGGCGGGTAGTGCTGGCAAGCTCAAAGTGCCAAATTTACACAGGCCACCCAGAATGCATTCCACCATAGTTATGAGCATATCCATCTCCTGGTGGACCTCAAAGGTGCGCTCTGCACGTGCAAAAAAATTGTCCGCGCCGGGCGGTGGGGATGCTTGGACAATGGACACCCCGTGTGGATTTACTATGTAACTATCTGGAAAACGGCGTTGTGTAGCGCCGCCGTTTTTTGGCACACCTTTTCATACATCTTTTTCACACATGCTGCGTAACTTTCAGACTTAGGTCACTCAAGGTTAGGTCATCAGGTTACGTCCAAGTGACCTTACCTTAGGAAAAGTTATAGTGCCTGTCATAGCTACACAGACTGAACAATCGGTTTATAACGCGCAGCGATTGATAAGAGCAACAGTATATACGTAGAGTACATCTACCTCGGAATTTCAATATCACTGACCTAAGGTTCTGTTGATTTCGCGATTTTTCTATTAC